TCCTGCTCACCTTACGGTGAAAAGGCAGAGTGAGAGAAAACCTATAATACTATATCGTCATAATTGTTCTATTTTATTAACAGTCATTTACCATTATCAATCACTTACTGTGGCTAATTACTGTACACATGCATATAGACACCTTCCCACTGACTGGGAAGGTAAGTGTTAACCTTCTTTCAGCCCCAACCAAAAAGATGTTCAAGACTCAGAAAACACCACACAAATGATAACTTAAAATTCACACCTGATGGATGGAGCAGAGGAACAAGGACCATCTCCTGACTCAATATACCAAGCAGCTAGGTATGAGGGGCTGCTGAGACCCTGCAGAGCTGCCAGCACCTCAGATGGGTAGGAGAAGGTCAAGTCTCCATTACATCTCCCTCTTCCAGGCTAGAACCTGGGTGTTCTCTGTCTTGTTTGAGATGGAACACCAGGGCACAGGCACACACAAAAGCCTAGGTGGTGTGTCCTGTGATTTGAATACTGCAGCCCCAGGTCTCCTGGCAAAGTTGCAGCTGTATTACTCACAGTTCAGGTGGGGTCGCCATCATTCCCACCCCCCCCCCTTTGTCCACGCCCTGCAGAGCCAGCTCTGCGGGAGTCTCACGCTCATTGGTCTTGCGCCATCCGTTCCAAGCTGATAATGGTGTCTTTCACCTATGTCTCTTGCTAATAAATGAATTCCTGAAATACCTTTACAGACCTTCTCTTGGCCCCAAGTACTGGCTAAGGAAGGACGACCAATGAAGTAAATGAACAACAGATGGGACATAAACGGTACCACATGTTAGCTTCAACCTCTTTGGGAAGAAGCAGGGCAAAACCTGAAGCAATTACTTCATACCTATGGAGGGGTCACAGCGACCACACAGCTACCACAAAAGGCCATTATTACTTTCTTTTGATATAGGACATCTCTAGATGGAAAAGATGAACCTTTTTTCTTACTGAGACTTCAGTTTCATCTTTAGATGTTACCTTATTGGGGTGGAAGGACCTTCAACTTTTCCTAAGCAGGGACAATGCTACCCAGAATGTCACATGGGTTTAATTATGTCCTGAAACTACTTGTGGTCATTCCTTGAGCCAACAGTTGGTCTCAAAAAGTCAGTTTTTCCTGTTGTATAAACATGTCTTGCCTTTTTTTTTTAAAAAAAAAAGGGGAGTTGTTTTTTTTTTTTTATAAGCACTTTAGAGAATATATTTTTTCTGAATATTAGCACTCTAGTTTGGATGCAAGTAGGGCACAGAGATGCCTAGGGATTCAGGAGCTGGAGAACTGGAGACGGATGAGCACTATAGAAGTTCAGAGAAAGTGGGATCATGGGACAGCATAAGTGGAAGACCTCACTGAGGAGCCGCACCAAACTGCGCTTGTAGGGAAGGGCAGTCTCTCATGGAAAGAGAGGCGTGAAGAGGGTATTCTAGAACGTGATAGAAAAAGTAAGTACAATCAGTCTGACTGTGCAGAAATGTCTAAGTGCTGTGTCTATTGGAACTCTCATCCACACTAACGTCTGAGATGAGACCCAGAAGGAGGAAGAAACAAAAGCAAGTTTCATGAATTACTGCCTGGTATTTATGCAGAAATTACTGCAGGCCCCTAAGGGGAGTGGAGGCTGAGTAGAGGCTTGAACTTCATCCTAGATTATTAATTTATTTCTATCCTTTGTTTATGTGTATGTGTGTGAGTCCGTGTGAGTTTATGTGTACCATGTGTACCGAGGAGCCCATGGAGACCAGAAGAAGGGATGGAATCCCCTAGAGCTGGAAATACAGAAGGTTGTGAGCTGACTTCTTAAGCTGAATGTGAGGGTTGGGAGAAAATAATTGGTGAAGGTGCAATGGCAAAATATTAAAAAATATTCAAAATCCAGCCTGCAATACTCGGAGGTGCCTCCGGCAATGCTTACCAAGGTCGCATGCACAGCTTCTCAGCAGCCTTGTATGTTTTGGACATACAATATGTGCAGTTTCTCTGTGCATTCATTACACCACATGCCACCAGCAAATGCTACTCAAAACACATCGACTCAGGTTCAAGACTCTGGCATGTTTTCATTCTATGCGCAAAAGCTTTCCTTTCTTACGTAAACATAATGGCTTAATTATGGAAACAGAGACGTTCAGGATCTTCCTGCCATCATCTCTCTGCACACAACTACCAAATTGCTGCTGGATTGCAGCGTGTTTGGATGTTTAGTTTTAGAAATTGCTATTTGAAAGTCCAACGAGTTTCATAAAAAAAAAATACATTCTGGCTTGATATCCAGACAGAATTTCCAACAGTATCTGGGAAGGCTGCTGTGATCTACTGTAGGGGACACAGTGATCTATTGTAGTGGCCACTGTGATCTACTGTAGAGGACACTGTGATCTACTGTAGGGACACTGTGATCCACTGTAGCGGACACTGTGATCTACTGTAGCAGATGCTGTGATCTACTGTGTGGATGCTGTGATCTACTATAGTGGACGCTGTGATCTACTGTAGGGGACACTGTGATCTATTGTGTGGACACTGAGCTCAATGATTGCTAGGGAACTGCTCAGTCTCCTTGAACACACTCTCCCCTTCCCCAGTTTTCGCTGGGTCTGACAGGCAAGCAGCCCAGTGGTAAAGGGCTGCTCAGACGGCCACAAAGGACATGCCATTTGCAGAAGTATAGGTCTCTTTTCCTAACTCCTTAGTCGCTTTGCATCACCTTGTCAATCAAGAGTTGCCATTATACCTCCTTTTTTGTTTCTCCAGAATTGACTTCAAAACTTAAATGCTCTGCTTGGTTCTGTCATTTAGGCTTTGTTGGCTTTTATTTAAATACAAACACATTTTAGAGACAGAGGAATAGGGGAAATGCAAATAGGCTCACCTGGTGCCCTTTACAAAACTCACCCAATTTATTCAGAATCTTTTTGGCAAGAGGAAGGCTCATCTGCTTTGGTTTTTCATTCTCTCTGGGATGCTAATTGTTTTCCTTTTGATAGTCTTGTTGTTTTGGCCTGAAGTCTACAATCTGGCCTGCTGAGCTGTGTGTCACGTTTGTAAATTAGCTGACATCTGCTTTGAGTTTCATCGTCTTTAATTTTCTTTCAGGATCGTTTCACTTGTTCATTTTCTCTTTAATTGCAAGAATCGGGTTTTTGTCTTTGCTTTATACAAAAGTACAGACCTTTCTGCTTTGGGGGCATGGACTCCAATGAGTGGAATCACGTGGTCCCAAGGAAGACTATTCAGGGAAAAGATGCTGGGAGAGAAGCCTTAGCAACCGTCCCAGAGAGGATGCGCCCTGGACACAAAGAGCTAGCTGTCCACACCACACTTCTGAGGTTCCCACTGAATAATTACAATCTGTTAGAAGAAGATTGACAGTGAGGGCCGAACCGGGGGAAATATTTTGAATTGAGAGAGACTGAGGTGGTGGACATATGTGGGATGAAGGCTGACTTTTTTATTTCTTTGTGTGTGTGTGTGTGTGTGCTTTTTTTTTCTGTGCTAGAGAGTGAAGCCAGGGCCCCACATGTAAGACAAACTGCTCTACTACTTAGCTACTGTCCCCATGCCTCCCTCCCTCCCCACTGTCCCTTCTTTGTCTCCCTCCTTCCCCCATCATTTCTTTCTCCTTTTCCTTTTCACCTCAGAAAAACAGTAAAGGGAGTATTATTGCAAATAGGACTGGGACTATTTATCAAAGATTCATTTCACTGTTGAATTACCGAATGCCGCAGCCTTGTAACTTTCTCCCACTTTAAAGAAAGCTCAGAGATGTTTGTTGGGGACATGTCCCCTGGCCAGAGCGTGTGCGTGAACTTTTCTTCTGGCAAGCGTGTCCATCCTGGCTAGAAGAGGTTTACAAGCAGGTTGGCTGTGCACATGGTATAAAAACTTTCCTTGATAACAGCTGCAGAAATTCTAAACCACGTTTCTGAAACTATATTATGAAACTTACCTGGCAGTGGCTTTGAGGTTTCATCTATGTTACTGGATGTTACTGTGATAAAGACATGGCAGCTAAGTCAGGGGCATGCTTTGTGAATGGCATATGTACAAAACAGTGGTTCTAAACTGGGGCACTTTTTTGCCTCCTAGAGGACATTTAGAAACGCCAAGATCATTGTCACAACCGCGAGAGGAGACTGGTGCTGGCGTCTAGTAAGTAGAGACTTGAGTTTCTGATAAATAGTTTCTGATGCACAGGATAGCCCCCCAAGAGTAGAAAGGGCTATCTGTGTGCACTGCACTCTCTCTCACTCCAGTTAGAATTGCTCTCTTTCCAATTCAGCCAGATTTTGGCAGCTCATTCGCCACCATCACCAATGATTTCCTTGTGACAATGTATTGACATGTACTGTCTTTCCTTGATCTGACCCTTGTCGTTTTCTCGCCGGGACAGTCCCTGTACTGAGACTAGAGTGACCTTGAAATCAGGGTTCTGACTTTACCCCACCACGTACCGAATCCCACAGTGACTCCTACAGGACGAAATGGGAACGTCTTAGAAAGGTATGCCACGCCCACCGTGTCTCATCCCTGCCTGTGCTTCATCATCATCCCAAATGTTGCTCTTCTTGTAGCATATACACTCCACTTATGCAAATGATGCCCATTTCAGGAAAGACATACATGCCACCAAAAAGAGCCTGGTGCGATCTGGTCCTCTCCCAAGACTTGGTCCACAATGTCTCTTACTCGAGGAGATGTTTCTTGATCTCAGTTTTACCCCTTCTTCCATACACAGGTAAACCCCATCTCATTGTTCTCCAAATTCTTTGAACCCATCTTTAATAGTGTACCCCGCTCTAGCATCTAATTTCATTTTCTGATTATTTAAATATTTAATCTACCAGACAGTGACCTCTATCCCTCTGCTTAAATTCCCGGCTCAGAATAAACAAGCATCAAATGCTTATTGAATAAATAAATGAGTGCCACGTGGCATTATCCTTCATCCTCTTTGTTTCTCATAACTTTTACTCTGTTTGGATGCTATAGATACCTGCCATTCCCAGCCTTGCTGTTTTCCAGTTGTCGGGAGAGCAGCTTGGCGATGTTGGTGAAACTGTTGCTCATCCGGAAGATGTCCCTGCTGTGAGGGCCCAGGATGGAGGAGAAGGCATCGGTGATGCTCTTAATTTCCAGCAGGAGAATATGGTGAAAGGAGTGCTCCATGTTGGCCAGCTGGCTCACCAGGTAACCGAGGCAGCTCCTGGCTCTTTCCTGCCAACGACAATGAGAACAACAGAAGTCTGTAGGACAATATAGCATTAAAGTTCTGTGAGCTAGATCCCTTCCAATAAATATGGGTGAGGTTAGTAATGCTGGTGCTTTTGAAGACGTCACATCTGTATGAATTCATGAGACACAGTGCATTACAGGGACATTGTCTACCCCCGACTTAGAGCCAGAAGATAGAAGTGGGGGATCTTCGACACATGCCAGGCTCCTCTTAGAAGTTAGGATCACAACACAAAAGGAAATGGGTGGAAACCTTCTGAAACGATGTAGCAGACAGAGTGAAAAAAATACCCATGCGAAATACTTAGTACATTGGACGGAGACACGTGCCACAAAAGAGAAACAAAGCAGAAAGAGGAGAGCCTGGGAAATTAATATTAAAAACTACACTGGGCACATCCCAGAGAGAAAATAACATTCCAATTCAATAAAGTGTTTATCATCGAAACCCAGCATGTTCAAAAGCCTTAGTAACAATTAGAGTGAAATTCATCCTGCTTGATACAGGGTTGCAGGGAGCTCTAGGAGCCGGGCCATATGGGAGGTGACATTTAATTTGCTGTTTGTATCACTGACAGGGTGACTTCAAACTTCATGTATGCTTCTTGACTTCAGAATCAGAGTCTGCCTTAGCATCCTAAAAAGTCATTCCACAAATACCTAAGTGTCCCTGTGGCTCTGTGGAGAGGATTTCCCGGGATGCAGATGTAGGTCAGCTGCTCAAACAGTTTTGTAGCCTGCGTGAGGCCCTGGATTGACCCAGGGATTCTCTCTCCACCCCCACTCTGACCCCCTCCCCCCCACAAAACCTTTCTCATCATGCAAAACCAGAACATTCTTTTCTCAGAAGCATTCATCTTGCTCATGGGGAAGGTGACGGTGTGGATGTTTGCTGAAACCAGCCTCATTCTGAATGATCCTCTGGCAGCCAAACCGAGCTGAAGGGGAAATTAATCACATTTCGGGAACAAGAAAAATCCTAACTGCTTGAGACCCCGCATATGAGTCCGCACCAAGCTCACATCGTTTGTTCTGAAACCTTGGAGCACATCCAGGTTCCTCACAGGGGTAACAGATGTGATTCTGGATGAAAAATGGGATGTTAGGGCAAGAATGGGGTTATGGAATTCTGATTTTTTTTTCTCGGCTCCAAAGTATTTTGTCTCCGAGGCTTAGTGACTACAGCCTGCGTGCTGTCTTCCCGCAGTGGGGCAGGGTCAGCGTCACCTGCGTGTCATCATGTAGACTTGTTACTGTCCACTCAGACACAAGTCCATGCAGACAGCTAGACCAAGTGCCAAGGCTACCCCACAAGCTCTTCAGTACCCATGGGACTTCCTGAATGACACTGTGAGGTAAGTAACGTGTCGGCCATCACTTTATGGGGAAGAAACTGGCCATGCTCTGAGCCCCATATCCTCAGCGTCTCTCACTATTGTGACCTCACTGGCCATGGCACCAGCCCTTCCTACCAAGAAACAAGACCACAAATTAGTCCAATTCCTTCTTGGTCTCTCATTCCCCAGCACAGATATGCGGTTCTTTTTGCTTAATTACATTTGATTTACCTAACAAGCATCATAAATATTCTGTAAATACAAAATAGACTAGTGATTCTCAAGCCTTTCTGTTTGTAGGGCCCCTGACCTCTTTTTAAAATGTTTGCAGGCCCCAAAGAGTTTTTGTTTGTCTGGGCTGTAGCTATTGCTATTTGTCATTTTGAAACTAAACTGACAAATTAGAACCATCAATTTATTTAAAAATAAACCATATGCATGTTAGACACATTTTTTATGAAAAAAATTCATCTCCGAAATAGAATTTTTGCAAATCTTTAAGGTGTAGTGGTTGTTCACATGGACAAAAACTGTATTCTCATATCTGTTTTTTACTTGCTGCATTATATCAGGCCTCATACAGCTTATATAGTTGGAAAAATTCGAATTATTTTCAAAATACCGTTGATAGTTATGTACATTCTTTATGGATAGTACATGAAACTCAACAAGTGGTAGTATTTGTTTGCAATATTAGTATTTTTGTACTCTATTACACTAAAATTCATCTTTTTTTTTCCTCAAGTAAAGATAAAGCATTGTCCTTTCCATAGAGGAAGTGGTCCAGAGTAGTCAACCTGCCACTAGGTTGCTGGTTAGTTACCCTGGGGAACGGTGCCAGATCTGGGGCTCAGTGTTAGTTTCTGCTGTTGGCAGATCTGTCACTCAGCAGCAGTTATAGCCAGATCAGCCTTGATAAGAGGAAGTCCATGTTGTTGAGACCATGTATAACCCCCATCTCTGCCACCATGACCACTTTGCTCGTGGGCCCATTGGGCAATGCAGGAATGGCTGGGGAAGGGTTGACTGTTGTCTTAGGGTTTCTATTGCTCTGAATAGAACCATGACTGTGGCAGGTTTTTGTAAAAGAAAACATTTAATTGTGTAGCTTACAGTTCAGAGGTGTAGTTCGTTATTGTTACGGCGGGAGGCATGGCAGCGTGTAGGCAGACATGGCATGCGAGAGGGAGCTGAGGGTTCTTGCATCTTGACTCACAGGCAACAAGCAGTGGTCTGAGACACTGGGTAGAATATGACCTCAAAGCCTGCCTCCACAGTGACGTATTTCCTCTAACGAGACCACATCTGCTCCACAAGGTCACGTCTCCCAGCAGTGCCACTTCCTTGGGGGCCTATTTTTTTTCAAACCACCTCAACTGTCCATAGAAGAGGCCATCCTATCTACTTGTCTATGGGACTCTTCCTTAGCTGCGGTCACCTTTACACGAGCATCTACAAGTGACACCTATAGGGCCTGATAAAAAAAAACTCCAGACAGCATCTCTTCCTGGCACCTAGAGGCTGTGGGATAGCTAATCTAACAATGGCTGCCTATTAGCAGAATGTTCAAGAATCCAGTAGTTGTTCAGACATCTAGGCTTGATGACTGAACTCTATCATAACAGGTCTCTTCAGTATATGCTAGAATTCTGAAGAAGTATATGCTAATGTCAGTGAAGGAATAGATTTGCTAGAGAGAGAGAGAGACAGAGAGACAGAGAGAGAGAGAGAGAGAGAGAGAGAGAGAGAGAGAGAGAGAGAGACAGAGACAGAGAGAGACAGAGAGACAGAGAGAGAGAAAGCAGGCAAAGAGAATGAACCCGTCTTCCAGGTCCTTTACATAGACTGCCAGCAGAAGGTGTGGTCCAGATTTAAACGTTTGTCTTCCCACCCCGAAGACCTGGATTAGAAGAGGGGCTATGCACTTCAAATGATTTAATTAAGAAAAATAAATCCCTCACAGGTGTGCCCAGTCATTTGAGCTTTAGTTAATTTCAGATGTGGTCAAGTTTACAAGCAAGAACAGCCATTACGAGGACCAAGCATTCAAACACAAGAGGCAATGGGTCCCGGACATTTTGTGTCCCAAGCACAATGCGTGGGGACATTAGAGCCAGTCTCTCATAGGCGTCCAGGGTAACTATGGTAATACCTGTAGCTTTGCTGAAAGCCGGAAGCTCACTTCATTCCTCCACTCTCCAGATAACGTTTACCAACTCATTCAAACGCAATAACCATAGGCTCCTTAGAAGCCATTATCTTAAGTAAAAAAAAAATTCCTTGAAAGAGTTATTCAGATGATTTGGAAAGACAGAGGCTCAAGGTGCTTTCCTAAATTAGCCTCTATAATCCTGCATTTAAATGTGCATCAGAAATTCTGAGCCAATTCCCATTTCCAATTAACACTGAGCATGAAAAATCTTCGGGGTGGAGGTAATAATAAAACCAGCTATTTCTACTGTTTCATCAAGCTAAATGAGTCCTTGTGAGGATGGGGAGGTGGGGTCTCGAAAGTCAGTAGAGGAATGTTTGCTACCGGGGAACCTTTGGAGAATGTCTGGAGACATTTTGGGTTGTCATAATTGAGGGGACGGAATGGCAGAATCCAGTGGGAAAAGGCCAGAGATGCTGTCAAACATCACGTAACACACACGATAGCCCCCAGCTAAGGGTCATCTAGCCCAAAGCGTTGATGGTGTCAGACTGAGAAATTCCTAGTTAAGTGAAAACTGGCTCTTCCCCCAGTCCCCTAACTGTCAATACAATCTGGTGCCACCGTCCTGATTTGTGGTAATCACTAGAGGTTTTGCAAACTATTGCTTTGTGCTAGGAGTGCAGATGTCAAGCCAGTAGACACAATAGACAATGTCTTAGGAACGCTGTATTACTGTGAAAATACCTCTACCATCACAGGTCCCTTGAAAGGACCTAAGAAGCCATGGGTCACACTGAGAACTGACGAATTAGAGTTCATCATTGGCAACATTTTCTGCAAGGAGCAGATAGAACATATTTTTAACCCAGTGAGCCATTGGGATAATGCCAGTATGTGCCAGACGATGGGCACGGTTACCTGCAGTTCACGTACGTTTATAAATGGGCTATCAGAAAGAGGATATTAGTACCTAAAGGACAATAAAGACTGAGGTTACACTGGTCAGAGTCACAGGTGGGGCAAACCTGCTACTAAATCAAAATCTGACTGATTCCAGAGTTCGGATGTTTCCAGTTTCAAGAGCCGAGGAAAGCCAAGTCAGAGCAGTCTTCCTCACTGCTATCTTTCTCTCCTGTGTCCACAGCAAGAATTGCCAGAGGATCACAGGGTTCTTCCTCATGGGACCTACAGCCTTCCAGAGACCCATTCTCAACACTGCCCTCTTGTATGATGGAATTGTCTGAGATATCATTAGGACAAACCTAATGACCAGAAGACTCCTGTTTCCCAGTTCCTAGTCAATTTCATCGGAGTTGGTGGGGTTCTTTTTGAAACATTCCAGATGATTCTACTAGGAGGCCAGGGTTGAAAGCTACTAGTCTATGTAGGGCTCTGCAGCCCTGAAATTTGGGCATTTGAAACTTAGAAATTTGTGGATTTGGCTTTTTTCCTCTTTTATAACTTTTACCTTTTTCTAAGGGAGTAATAAA